CATACTGTCATTGACGACCTGAGTACTGACCAGTACTATGGTTACATGATTTGCAGTGCCATCAAAACTGGGGTCATGCCTGATAGACTTGCTTACCTGCAGATAGGTCCAGTCTCACATTCTAGGTGGCTCACAACGGCTCTTAGGTTCTGCAGAATTTGGGTCGTCATAAACTGAAAGGGAACCAGTCACAACCTGAGACTTATTGTCCAATTCATCGTGAGTGTCTACTTGCCAAATTGGTTCAACAATTGCCGTTTCTCCTCAAGGTCCGAGGTATGTCTTTCCAGCTTGATTCTGAGGAGTCAGCCATGAAGGTTGTTCAGATTGTGGAGCAGACTGTGAGGAGATCTTCCTGGTATGCTCATCCCGAGGCAGTTCTGGCAGACAATGCTCTGCAGTAAGGATGAGGAGGAGAAGAGGGCAGTCAAAAGATCTTGATATGAGACTTAAGAGAGGATCTAGCATGACGAACTGGTGATTGGGCCTTCAGGTCAGGAAGACTCCTGAAGTCAATCTAGGTGCCAAGACCCCTCACTGATCAGATCTGGATAACATCCAGGCTGGCAGTGAGCCCCCTCTTACCTGCAGCCTCACCAATGTTCAAGTCAGAGCTTTCCTGGACAACCCCATGCATGTCCCTGCCTGGCCCTCGCACACCCAGAGTATTGAGCGTTGTGTACAGCAAGTGAGCGAGACCAGCAGTCACGTGTACAGCCAGGAGAGGAGGGAAGGCTACATCCGAGCTCAGGTGGTCAGCAGGGAGGTGATGAGTAGAAACAGAAGCAAGAAAGACATGTTCTCTATGGTGTGCAGCAACACCGGGTCGTAGTAGTAAAACCGGTTTTTGTATTTGATGATTTTGTTTTCTAAAGGAATATTAAATTTAATAAATGTGTCAAGATCATTCGTTTCACTATTCTGGATCATTTTCATCCTAATAAATTAACCTGATACATTTACTTTACTTTAAATAAGCTATTTAGTGGTGTTGGTAAAAGGGTGGGAATACTGAATTTTCATAAGATTTTAAGTTAAAATTTACCTAGCAAAAAATGAAACCTTTTCAAATCTGAAGATATCACGTGATTCTGCACATAGAACTACATCATTAATACCATGGGCCGATTTTTCAAACTCAAAAAAAAAAAAATTCGCCTCCGTATGACACCCCAGTAACGCATGTCCTCTATACAATACTCGACAACAACTCGTGATCGATGATGATCAAGTAGCTTTATACCATCGTTAGATATTGTGTTAGCTTTGCACCATCACTAGGCGTTGTGTTAGCTTTGCACGATCACCAAGTGTTGTATTAGCTTTGCACCATCAACAGGTGTTGTGTTACTTTGCACCATCACCAAGTGCTGTATTATCTTAGCACCATCACCAAGAGTTGTGTTAACTTTGCACCATCACCAGTGTTGTGTAAGCATTGCACCATCACTAAGTATTGTGTTAGCTTTGCACCATCTCCAGGTGTTACATTAGCTTTTCACCATCACTAGGTGTTGTGTAAGCTTTATACTATCAGCAGCTGTTGTGTTAGCTTTGCACCATCACCAAGTGTTGTATTAGCTTTGCACCATCACCAAGAGTTGTGTTAACTTTGCACCATCACCAGTGATCTGTTAGCATTGCACCATCACTAGGTATTGTGTTAGCTTTGCTCAATCTCCAGGTGTAACATTAGATTTTCACCATCACTAGGTGTTGTGTTAGATTTACACTATCAACAGCTGTTGTGTTAGCTTTGCACTATCTCTAGTGTTCTGTTAACTTCGCACTATCAGCAGTTGTTGTGGTAGCTTTACACCATCACCAATGTCGTGTTAGCTTTACACTATCAACAGCAGCTGTGTAAGCGTTGCACTATTACCAATGTTCTGTTAACTTTGTACTATCAGCAGTTGTTGTGTTAGCTTTGCACCATCACCAATGTTGTGTTAGCTTTACGTGGTCACCAGTGTTGTGTTAGCTTTGCACTATCAACAAATACCGTGCTAGCTTTACATCATAACCAGTGTTGTGTTAGCTTTACACTATTAACAGCTGTTGCGTTAGCTTTGCACCATCACCTATGTTCTGTTAACTTTGCACTATCAATAGCTGTTGTGCTAGCTTTGCACCCTCACCAGTGTCGTTTTAGCTTTACACTATCAACAGCTGCTGTGTTAGTTTGCACCATCATCAATGTTGGGTTAATTTTGTAATATCAGCAACTGTTGTGTTGGGTTTGCACCATCACCATGTGTTGTGGTATTAGCTTTGCACCATCACCAAGTGTTGTGTTGCTTTTTCACCATCACCAGGTTTTGTGTTAGCTTTGCACCATCACCAGGTTTTGTGATAGCTTTGCACTTTAGCCAGGTGGTGTGTTAGCTTTGCAACATGATCGAGTGTTGTATTACCTTTGCACCATCAACAGCTGTTGGGCTAGCTTTGCAAAACCACCGGTGTTCTGTTAACTTTGCCATATCAATAGCTGTTGTGTTAGCCTTGCACATAACCAGTGTTGTGTTAGCTTTGCACCATCACTATGTGTTGTATTATCTTTGCACCATCAGCAGGTGCTGTGTTAGCTTTACGCCATCACCAGGTGGTGTGTTAGCTTTCCACCATAACCAGGTGCTGTATTAGCTCTGCACTATCACCAAGTGTTGTTTTACCTTTACACCTTCACCAGTTTTGTGTTAGCTTTGCACCATCACTAGATATTGTGTTAGCTATACATATCCCTAGGGGTTGTGTTAGTTTTGCACCATCACCAGGTGTTCTGTTAGCTTTGCACCATCACCAGATTCTGTATTAGCTTTGCACCATTACCAAATAACGTGTTAGATTTGTACTATCACCAGTGTTGTGCTAGCTTTGCACCATCACTAGGAATTGTGTTAGTTTTGCACTATCAACAACTGTAGTGTAAGTTTTGCACCATCACCAGTGTTGTGTTAGCTTTTTACTTTCAACAGCTGTTATGTTAGATTTGCACCATCACCAGGTGTTGTGGTATTAGCTTTGCACCATCACCAAGTGCTGTGTTGGATTTTCACCATCACCAGGTTTTGTGTTAGCTTCGCACCATCACTTGGTGTTGTGATAGCTTTGCACTTTCGCCAAGTGTTGTGTTAGCTTTGCAACATCATCAACTGTTGTGTTAGCTTTGCACTATCAACAGCTGTTGTGATAGTTTTGCACCATCATTAATGGTGTGTTAATTTTGTACTATCAGCAGCTGCTCTGTTAACTTTGCACCTCACCAGGTGTTTTGGTATTAGCTTTGCACCTCACCAGGTGTTATGTTGGTTTTTCGCCATCACCAGGTTTTGTGTTAGCTTTGCACCAACCACCAGATGTTGTGATAGCTTTGCACTTTCGCCAGGTGTTGTGCTAGCTATGCAAAATCATCATGTGTTGCATTAGCTTTGCACCATCAACAGGTGTTGTGTTAGTTTTGCACCAACATCAGGTGTTGCAGTACCCTTTTCACCATCACAAGGTGTTGTATTAGCTTTGCACCATCAACAAGTGTTCTGTTAGCTTTGCACTAGCACCAGATTCTGTATTTGCTTTGCACCATCACCAAATATCGTATTAGCCTTGTACCATCACCAGTGTTGTGTTAGCTTCGCACCATCACTAGAAATTGTGTTAGCTATGCACTATCAACAACTGTTGTGCTAGTTTTGTCCCATCACCAGTTTTCTGTTAGCTTTACACTATCAACAGCTGTTGTGTTAGCTTCGCACCATCACCAGGCATTGTGTTAGCTTTGCAACATCATCAAGTGTTGTATTAGCTTTGCACCATCAACAGGTGTTGTGTTAGTTTTGCACCAACATCAGGTGTTGCAGTACCCTTTTCACCATCACAAGGTGTTGTATTGGCTTTGCACCATCAACAAGTGTTTTATTACCTTTGCACCATCACCAGGTGTTTTGTTAGCCTTGCACTATCACCAGGTGCTGTATTGGCTTTGCACCATCACCAAGTGTTAGTTAGCTTTGCTCCACCATCAGTGTTGTGTTAGCTTTGCCCCATCGCCAGGTGTTTATATTAGCTTTGCACCATCACTAGTGTTGTGTTACCTTTACACTATCAACAGCTGTTGTGCTAGCTTTGCACCATCACCAATGTTGTTTTAACTTTGTACTATCAGCAGCTGTTGTGTTAGCTTTGCGCCATCACCAGGTGTTGTGGTATTTGCTTTGCACCATCATCAAGTGTTGTGTTCGCTTTTCGCCATCACCAGGTTTTGTGTTAGCTTTGCACCAACATTAGGTGTTGCAGTACCTTTTTTTAGCATCACCAGCTGTTGTATTTGCTTTGCACCATCAACATGTGTTGTATTAGGTCTGCATCATCAACAGGTGTTGTCTTGGCTTTGAACCATCAACATGTATTGTATTAGTTTTGTACCAACAACAGGTGTTGTATTAGCTTTGTTCCATCAATAGGTGCTGTGTTAGCTTTGCACTATCACCAGGTGATGTGTTACCTATGCACCATTGCACCATAGCCAGGAGTTGTACTAACTTTGTACCATCAACAGGTGTTGTGTTCGCTGTGAAATATCACAAGACGTTGTATTCGCTTTGCACCATCAACAGGCGTTGCGTTACCTATGCACCATTTCCAGATGTTGTATTAGCTTTGCACCATGAGCAGGTGTTGCGTTACCTATGTACCATCAACAGGTGCTGCGTTACCTTTGCACCATCAACAGGTGTTGCGTTTCCCTTGCACCATCAATTGGTGTTCGCTTTGCACCATCACCAGGTATTGTATTAGCTTGACATCATTACCACTGAAACTGTGGCAAAAATGATGTCGACTGTCGTCTGACGTATGTTAGATCAGTATTTTCTTAAAATAAATAAATGATTTATGTTGCTTTGTAATGTTTTGTTATGATACTGTTAGCATAGTGCTTGCCCGTGACGTTGTATTATCTTACTAGTTCTCATATCTGGCTTTTCCACAATCTTTTCCACCAGACGTGCCCTCATGGGGTCCGGAAGTGAAGGGAGGTATCCAGGGTGTTCCACAGGGCACAGGCGGTGTTGGAAGCACCGGCGTGATCGACAAGACGCGGGTGAGACCAGGGGACGTGGTGTCTGCGCGCTGTATGATCGGTCGTTCAGACCCTCCCGCAGACATCACCTGGTCCCTCAACTCTGTGAGTCCCCCGCCTCACGCACGGGTTCGGCGTTTTCTCCAGGCAGACAAACACGGCCGAACTGTCCAAGTCTCGGTGAGTATTTCTAGTAATGATGTTGAGGTCGGAGTAAGTGGAAATGCCAGGAGAAACTGGGATATAAGGTAGAATTAGAGTTGTTAGTAATGAATAAAGGGATATCATAAAGAAACCGAAACTATCAGTGAGTAACAAAAAAAAAAGTAAATAAGAAGTCTCAGGGAAAGATTACAAGGATTTCGGAATATTGGAAAGTCATTTACACCCCCCCCCCCAAAAAAAAAGAAGTAATGAACCATATTTTACCTATCAGCCACTGAGGGAGACAAAATTAAGCAAATTTGCTGGGAACTCCATGTTGATTTTACCTTCAAGAAAAACATCTGCAGACATTACCAATCCCCCATATATATGTTCTACGATTATTTTTCTTCATGTAGGAATAATCGAACGGGTAACAATATCATAAATTAGTTTTTTTACTATTTAGTCTTCACTTTTGAAAGGAATATGTCTACAACAGACCTAGAAGACGGAGAAGATACGTGGCGTTCTATAGTAATTTACCTTTGTTTAGGAGGGATCAAGTGGACAAAATAGTTAACACATACAAACGACAAACTTTACATAAATCTCACTGATGACATAAGCCACGACAATGAAACTTCAGCCCTATGATGCCTGAAATGTAAGAAAATACAAAAAAGAGGACATCGGCACACAACAAAAGACGTCGAAAGGAGGGTTAAAAGGACGTCAGGAAACACTAGGAAACACGAGGAAGAAATGTTAAACACTAAAAAGAAAAAATGGCGTCGAGTAAGTAGAAGAGTGACAAAACGAAGGGTGTGGGGAACGGTGAGATGAGGTGGAAGTGTTGTATGATGTGTAGAGAAGATGATTAGTAGGACGAGGGGGAAAAGAGGAGACATGATGAATAATGCTAATGATAACATATATCACATTAAACTAATTCGACTAAAATTTCAAACTGATGGATCAAACCTCACAACCTAATCACAGTTTGAGGCAAGATTCTGCTACCTTATTTCAGATTAAAGACTTGAAGGTAAACTGAGAGAAATATTCCGACACTATTATTACACTTACAACACAGGAGTATCTATCTAATATCTAATATACTATCTAATATACTATTTAATATTCTATCTAATATCTAATATACTAGAGGAATAGCCGTGCGTGTGTCTGTTCTGGGTTGCCGAAACGGCACAATCATTCTTCATCAAACTTGGTGGAAAAATCGCAAAAAATTCGTAGAGTGGAACAAACCTGGTCCCATGTCGATGGTTTCTTTAGGAAGGCATTAATTAACCACTTTATTTACGCTGGAAAACGATGTCGCTGTACGCTGTCAGCCGGACGGCGCGAGAGCACTTCTCCAAATATTCTCTCCATTACTGTTTTGTCGAACTATATAGCGAACCGGGCACGAAGGCCCCACGATCACCTGTTTACTCTAAAAGAAGTTGCTGAGAGATCTTTAAGCAGTTCAAAATAATATCGAAGCAAAAATGATAAGACAAAAATAGGTCAGCTTATTTGACTCTCAATCGCTACATACTAACCAGTTCGAGCCTATAATCCATTTTAAGTTATGCATACTGTAATATGTAAAGATAAATTAAACCTAATTTTTTTCTGAATTTTGTTGCTATGATATATTTCGTCCCCTCAAAGAATTTACAAGAACTTCCCATTGTTAATTTATTATTAAGCTGACAAAGCTCTTTCGTAATATTTCTAAACTGAATTTGAAATGCTGTTTTGATAAGCATGGGCAATAGCGAAATGGAGTGAGAGAAAAGAATAAAAATTGTACTTGTGTGACATTTATGTGTAAATGTATAGTCTCTTTAATATCCATTAAATTCAAAGCAGGGACACAAACTATTAATATTCCTTCATACAATCAAAATTTCCGAAGTGTCCATTAATCATACAGTAGAAACTATGGTCCGCGAGCTTCATTTAAATACTGATTTACCAACCAGACAACATTTGAAGAATTCGTCTACAATCTACTCCTTTCTTTGTTCATAAATTAAGGAATTACTCTATTTTTCAGCGATACAAAATGGCCCGGTCATTCAAACCAATGTTACCGCCTCAAGGTTGTGACAAACTTTACAAACACGAAGGACACCAACAGAATAACACACTCGCACAATTGATGGTTTACATTGAAAACTATATTACAAATTCATGAGTTATCATGGTTGATGTTAATAAAGGTAATTATATCAACGCCATTCAATGATAAAATTTTCCGCTTTACTGTACAGGCAGCCAAAGATCCACCCTGGCTTAAAGAACTCTCAATTTCATCTGGTAATGGAGATTGTGATTGGTGGATCTATTTTCGGCTCTATCACTTTCAGGATAAATAAAAACAATTACAAAGTAGATTTTTTATAATAATGAACTTCATTGAAGAAATTATATTAATGAATCGGCAACTCAACTACAATGAGGGCTGCCACAAGATTCTCAGATCAAACTTTCTTCATTATTTAAGCAAATATACGGACATTTGGAAACTTCTCATGATCTTAAATAACAATGAATAGTTTATTTTTATATAAATTCTACCTTCAGATTGTTAAATATTTATCCTGGCAGTGATACAACCGAAAATAGATCCACCAATCACAATGACCTTTGCATACAACCTTACTTTACCAAGTATTGCCAGGTAAAATTGTCAGTACGGGATCCACTGTACAGTAATGGCGAGGTTCAGGATACTCATCGATTAAACTTACTAACTTACTGGTGAGATAAAGCTGACAATAGGATTTGGGTAAATCTGACTCTCCTTAACGTTCTCCTAACAATGCTTCCTCAGGAGCTGGAGGTTGAGGTGCGGGAAGCGTGGCTGCGGCGCGGAGCCTTGACGCTGAGCTGCCGGGTGCAGGTATCCACCATCTACGACAAGACAGTCAACATCACCTTCATCCATGCCGACCACCCACAGCCCCAAGGCTTTGGTTGGTTCTCCTCAGGTGAGTCATGTTACCTGTGTGTTCGTTGTCACCTGTGTTTGCGATCCCTGTGCGTTCGTGGTCACCTTTTTTATGGGCATTAGCGCACCCAGGCACGGGTCATTGACCCATATCATGGCCTGGGGGACGAAAATATAATAATAATAATAATAATAATAATAATAATAATAATAATAATAATAATAATAATAATAATAATAATAATAATAAAAATTATTAATTAATAAATACAAATTATAATTATAATACAAAAATAAAATAATAATACGAATAATAATAAATAAAAGTTATAATAAAAAAATAAACTGAAATAATAATAATATTAATAATAATAAAAAAATAGGTAAATAATAAGTACAAGGATGAAACAATCAAGAGCGAGAAACGATATACTGTATGTATGTTGTGTTGTCAAAGTAAGAGGAGCAATTGAGATCCTGCAATGAAGCGGAATGACAGATCAGCAACCTGGGACTTGGTCACAATTTTCGTGATGCCATATGACAGAAGTATAAACCATCAGACAACACATTATGCTTCCAATATCTTCCCAGGTAGAGTACCACCTTGTTTGGTAGCTGCCTACTACACCTGTGTTGATGGTCACCTGTCTGTTGATGGTCACCTGTATGTTGATGGTCACCTGTGTGTTGATGATCACCTGTGTGTTGATGGTCACCTGTGTGTTGATGGTCACCTGTATGTTTATGGTCACCTGTGTGTTAATGGTCACCTTTGTGTTGATGGTCACCTGTATGTTAATGGTCACATGTGTGTTGGTGGTCTCCTGTGTGTTGGTGGTCGCCCCTGTGTTGGTGGTCAGCTATGTATTTGTGGTCACCTGTGTGTTGGTGGTCACCTGTATGTTGATGGTCCCCTGTGTGTCTGTGTGTTGATGGTCACCTGTGTGTTGATGGGCACCTATGTGTTGGTGGTCCCCTGTGTGTTGATGGTCACCTGTATGTTGAGTCATCAGTGTGTCTGTGTGCTGGTGGACACCTGTGTGTTGGTGGTCACCAGTGTATTGGTGGTCACCTGTGTGTTGGTGAACAACTAACTGCGTGTTGATGGTCACCTGTATGTTGATGGTCACCGGTATGTTGATGGACACCTCTGTGTTGAGGGTCTGCTGTGGTTGATGGTCACCTGTGGTTGATGTTCACCTGTGTGCTGATGGTCACCTGTGGTTGATGGTCACCTGTGTGTTGATGGTCACCTGTATGTTGATGGTCACCTCTGTGTTGATGGTCAGCTGTGGTTGATAATCACCTGTGGTTGATGTTCACCTGTATGTTGATGGTCACCTGTATGTTGATGGTCACCTATGTGTTGATGGTCACCTGTGTGTTGATGGCCACTTGTGTGTTGATGGTCATCTTTATGTTGATGGTCAGCTATATGTTGATGGTCACCTGTGTGTTGATGGTCACCTGCATGTTGATGGTCACCTGTATGTTAAAGGTCACCTGTATGTTGATAGTCACCTGTATGTTTATGGTCACCTCTGTGTTAATAGTCACCGGTATGTTGATGGTCACCTGTGTGTTGATGGCTGCCTATAAGTTGATGGTCACTTGTGTGTTGATGGTCATCTGTGTGTTGATGGTTACCAGTAAGTTGATTGTCACTTGTGTGTTGATGGTCATCTGTGTGTTGACGGTTACCTGTAAGTTGATGGTCACTTCTGTGTTGATGGTCAGGTGTGGATGATGGTCACCTGTGTGTTGATGGTCATCTGTATGTTGATAGTCACCTGTATGCGGATGGTCACTTGTGTGTTGATGGTTCTCTGTATATTGATGGTCACCTGTATGTTGATAGTCACCTGTATGCGGATGGTCACTTGTGTGTTGATGGTCACCTGTATGTTGATAGTCACCTTTATGTTGATGGTCACCTGTATGTTGATGGTCACCTGTATGTTGATAGTCACCTGTATGTTTATGGTCACCTCTGTGTTAATAGTCACCGGTATGTTGATGGTCACCTGTGTGTTGATGGCTGCCTATAAGTTGATGGTCACTTGTGTGTTGATGGTCACCTGTGTGATAGTCACCTGTTTGTTGATGGTCACCTGTATGTTGATAGTCACCTGTATATTGATGGTCACCTTTGTGTTAATAGTCACCGGTATGTTGATGGTCACCTGTGTGTTGACGGTTACCTGTAAGTTGATGGTCACTTCTGTGTTGATGGTCAGGTGTGGATGATGGTCACCTGTGTGTTGATGGTCATCTGTATGTTGATAGTCACCTGTATGTGGATGGTCACTTGTGTGTTGATGGATGTCTGTATATTGATGGTCACCTGTATGTTGATAGTCACCTTTATGTTGATGGTCACCTGTATGTTGATGGTCACCTGTATGTTGATGGTCGCCTTTGGTTGATGGTCACCTGTGTGTTGATGGTCATCTGTATGTTGATGGTTACGTGTGTGTTGATGGTCATCTGTGTGTTGATGGTCACCTGTATGTTGATGGTCGTCTGTATGTTGATGATCACCTGTATGTTGATGGTTACCTGTATGTTCATCACTTGTGTGGTGATAGTCACCTGTATGTTGATGATCACCTGTATGTCACATAGTCACTTCTGTGTTGATAGTCACCTGTATGTTGATGATCACCTGTACGTTGATGGTCACCTCTGTGTTAATAGTCACCGGTATGTTGATGGTCACCTGTGTGTTGATGGTTACCTGTAAGTTGATGGTCAATTGTGTGTTGATGATCAGTTGTGGTTGATGGTCACCTGTGTGTTGATGGTCATCTGTATGTTGATAGTCACCTGTATGTGGATGGTCACTTGTGTGTTGATGGTCGTCTGTATATTGATGGTCACCTGTATGTTGATAGTCACCTATATGTTGATGGTCACCTGTATGTTGATGGTCACCTGTATGTTGATGGTCACCTGTGGTTGATAGTCACTTGTGTATTGATGGTCATCTGTATATTGATGGTCATTTGCATGTTGATAGTCACCTGTATGTTGATAGTCACCTGTGTGTTGCTGGCCACTTGTGTATTGATAGTCATCTGAATGTTGATGGTCACTTGTGTGTTGATGGCCAACTGCATGTTGAAGGTCACCTGTATGTTGATGGACACCTGTATGTTGATAAGTCACTTCTGTCTTGATAGTCACCTGTATGTTGATGATCACCTCTGTGTTAATAATCACCGGTATGCTGATGGTCACCTGTGTGTTGATGATTACCTGTAAGTTTATGGTCACTTGTGTGTTGATGGTCACCTGTGGTTGATGGTCACCTGTGGTTGATGGTTACCTGTGTGTTGATGGTCACCTGTATGTTGATGGTCACTTGTGTATTGATGGTTACCTGTGTGTTGATGGTCACCTGTATGTTGATAGTCACCTGTATGTTGATGGTCACTTGTGTATTGATGGTCATCTGTATATTGATGGTCACCTATATGTTGATAGTCACCTGTATGTTGATGGTCACCTGTATGTTGATAGTCACCTATATGTGGATGGTCACTCGTGTGTTGATGGTCACCTGTATGTTGATGGTCACATGTGGTTGAGGGCCACCTGTGTGTTCATGGTCATCTGTATATTGATGGTCACCTGTATGTTGATAGTCTCCTGTATGTTGATGGTCACCTGTATGTTGATAGTCACCTACCTATATGTGGATGGTCACTCGTGTGTTGATGGTCACCTATATGTTGATAGTCACCAATATGTAGATGGTCAATCGTGTGTTGATGGTCACCTGTGTGTTAATAGTCACCTGTATGTTGATGGTCACCTGTGGTTGATGGTCACCTGTTAGTTGATGGTCACCTGTATGTTGATGGTCACTTGTGTGTTGATGGTCACCTGTGGCTGATGGTCACCTTTATTTTGATGGATACCTATATGTTAATAGTCACCTGTATGTTGATGGTCACTCGTGTGTTGATGGTCACCTGTGTGTTGATGGTCACTTGTGTGTTGATGGTTACCTGTGGTTGATGGTCACCTTTGTTTTGATGGACACCTATAAGTTGATGGTCACCTGTATGTTGATGGTCACCTGTATGTAGTTGGTTACCTGTATGTTGATGGTCACTTGTGTGTTGATGGTCACCTGTATGTAGTTGGTCTCCTCTGTGTTGATGGTCACTTGTGTGTTGATGGTCTCCTCTGTGTCGATGGTCACTTGTGTATTGATAGTCATCTGCATATTGATTGTCATCTGTATGTTGATGGTCACCTCTGTGTTGATGGTCAGCTGTGGTTGATGGTCACCTGTGGTTGATGATCACCTGTGTGGTGATGGCCACCTGCATGTTGATGGTCACTTCTGTGTTGATGGTCTCCTGTATATTGATGGACACCTAAATGTTGATGGTCACCTGTATGTTGATGGTCACCTGTGGTTGATGGTCACTTGTGTGTTGATGGTCATCTGTATATTGATGGTCACCTGTATGTTGATAGTCACCTGTATGTTGATTGTCACCTGTATGTTGATGTTCATTTGTGTGTTGATGGTCACCTGTGTGTTGAAGGTCATCTGTATATTGATGGTCACCTGTATGTTGATGGTTACTTGTGTGTTGATGGTCACGTGTGTGTTGATAGTCATCTGTATGTTGATGATCACCTGCATGTTGATGGTTACCTGCATGTTGAAGGTCACTTGTGTGTTGATGGTCACCTGCATGTTGATAGTCACCTGTATGTTAATGGTCACCTGTATGTTGATGGTCACCTGTATGTTGATAGTCACTTCTGTGTTGATAGTCACCTGTATGTTGATGATCACCTGTATGTTGATGGTCACCTGTATGTTGATAGTCACTTCTGTGTTGATAGTCACCTATATGTTGATGATCACCTGTATGTTGATGTTCACCTCTGTGTTAATAGTCACCGGTATGTTGATGTTCACCTGTGTGTTGATGGCTGCCTATAAGTTGATGGTCACTTGTGTGTTGATGGTCACCTGTGGTTGATGGTCACCTGTATATTGATGGTCACCTC